GGGTTTAAACATCAAGAATGGGGACTCCGGAGGGTTTTTCGCATACCCAGGCCGAATCGTGCATTTTTTCAGGCCAGGGACTCTGATAGTTCCCCCAAACAAATCCTGAAACATTGGGGTTGGTGATCACGTTCATCCATGAATCATCCAGTATGGGACTATTCTGATTCTTCTGCTTTATGACCAATGTGACATCCAATCTGATTTTATAATTTATATTAGTTAATTTGATTTGACTCGACTCTTCCACTGCGAATCGGATATGTTGCGATTGCGAGCTTTGCCATGGCTCATCCTTGTCATCGGCGCCCCTATGAGGCCGACTCATCAAAAGAAGAACTCCTTCCATGCGCACGACGGTGGCTGGCCTAAGCGCTTGGAAATGAATGACCAGAAATTGGACGCTGATTTTTTTCTGGAGGTGTTTCACCTTTATTTGCTGGTCTCAAGTCTATATAAATAAAAGTGGCTGGGAGTTGATATCCGACCAACCATGAAAATCAGGAGCATCAACATGCCATGGCATGGTTTGATGGCCTTGGTGCTGACCCCTCTAGGTACACAAGATGGAGGTACTGTGCCAGACAGGCAATAGTTCTTGGGGCATATTCCCTTACACGAGCCTTCCATAGGCCTTACGAGAGTCTAGTACATGAAAATCTAGGACTACCATGAAGTACCTGAGTTTCCACCGCTTCGCACCGAACCCCCCGACGCTATTCCCCCATTCTGCTCATTGGGTTGGTGGTGTAAGGAAGTTCAGCAGGACACCATGGTTTTGGGCGTATATTTGGTGGTGAATTTTTGCGGTCCCAAAATGGAGTCAACGGTTTCGTGCAGATGTTCCCCGGAGGTGGAGTTGTGACCATGTTCAAAAGCGTCCCGGAAGAACAGCAATGGGCACAAGTCAAGGCAGCAGTGCAGGCGTGTCCGGTCGCTTCGACCGGGATCAATGGGGCCACAGGAAATCCACTGCACTCCATCCCATCACAACTTTAAGTTGGCAGAACAGATACCATATGATACCATAATCATCATGGTCAATGTCTAGAGTTTCATCCCAATGCTGGACCCGTAAATGGTCATTGGCCACCAACAAGTTAGTATAAGTTAGTATACCTATAGTTGGTGTAACATGGTGTAACTAAGTCAGTTTTACCTAAGTTAGCTAATCCCAAATCCCATCCCTTTCGTTCAAAACAGCTCTGAATCGGCAGGAGAAGCTCCCCCCGAAGGTGAGTCTGTGGCACGTGGGCCAAGTCAACGACAAGCACGTCGGGGCGCCCGTTGGAACAGCCATGTCGCATGTCGCAGAAAATGTCGCAGCACGCCTCAAGGCAATCTAAGGCATTTAAGGCATTTAAGGCAGTTAAGGCATTTAAGGCATATCCAAAGGGACGAAATTGGATGGTTTCACATGATATAAATTTACGGCTTTGTTTGACTCCCAGTTCAGGTCTCCGAGTGATGATTCCAACTATCAATCGAACTTTCCGGGTTTCACGTGCCACCGATTTTGTGGTTCCTGAATGGCACGCTTGTCAACATTTACCCCCAAGGCCACCCAGATCTGCAGCACAATAGTTCCGGAGAGATTCATTTTTCCGGTGACCGCACAGATTTCAGAAAGAAGTGCTCTATCTTTGGCTGTCCATCTTACAGCCACTGAGTCCGGATCAGGGAGCTAGCTGAGATGATCATAACTTCATCAAAACTCCAGAGGGACAGTTGTGCACCTAGGAGTGCGCTATGGTCTGCGCGCCCTTTGATGGGGACATGACCTTCTTTGAGACCCTGTCCATTGAGTTACTTGGAAATTCAAATGGTGGAGTTAGCATGATTTATATAACTGGGAGAAATGGACATGTGGTATCAATTTGTGTTTTTTTACTGCTGGAGTTTCACCGGCCATGATTGGGATTTAACCACATAATGCCAGAGCCCAGAGCCGGTTTTCCACCAAGAGTTGCGGATAAAAACGCAGGAATTAATGGACAAAACGGGTGAGTTCAGCAGACAAGATTGGGATTTCGGCAGGGCTGATTTCTCGTTTAACATGGCGGGCCAAGGCTGGGAGGATCCACTCTGAAGTGCGAAGTGTGCTATGGGGATGTGTTGCAAAAGGCGCGCTGACCGTGGGCTAATCCGCGGCTTTGGTTGACCATCGGCGGCGTCCTCAAAACGGCATGAGTTTTTCTTCGTGTTGTGTTTGTGTTGTTATTTTGACAAAAAAGGGCAAACCCCGATCCCCATGCCCAAGATCAACCAAGTGTACTTGTACAGTACAAGCTTGGTGAATATCTCCATCCTTCATTTACTCTTTTTAACTTTGTATTTATTTGGATGTATATATACGAGTAATGCTTTCCATGGATGGATCAAGTGATTGATGGTTGAAGACCCTCTGGAAATCAACTGACTGTGGCTGTGGTAACGAATTATCCTCATTCGGCGATATTCTACATCAAACTCCCCAACCATGTGGATTTTCCATTCATGC